CCGCGGGGATGCGGTGGGAGCGCCGGGATGCACTCCGAGTACCGGGATGCGCTCCGAGTACCGGGATGCGCTCCGAGCACCGGGACCCCCTTCCAAGCACCGGGATGCTCTCCGAGTACCGGGATGCGCTCCGAGTACCGGGATGCGCTCCGAGCCCCCGCGCCCACCGATGGCCCCGGCACCCACGGGCGGGGTTTGGGGGACACGGAGGGTGGGATCGGGGGGCGGCGGGGACACCCGGAGACGAAACTCCGGCCGCGACCCAGGGGACTCATTCCCCATCCCGGTACAGCTGCAGGGGAAACTGAGGCACGGGGGCACCGTCACCTTCACACTGCGAGCCCTGCACGGCTCTTTCGAGGCTCTTGCCCCGTTTGTCGCCCCACCGGAGGAGCGGGGATGGGGTCCAGCGCTCCCCGCACCTGCCCGGGGCTGGTGGAAAGGAAGGTCACCGTTGCTTCAGGCCGGGGAAGGGGGGGAAAGCTGAGCACCTCCCGTGCCTCAGTTTCCCCTGTGTAACCAAGGCAGTGCTGCGCGGGACCCAGGACATCACACTCGGAGGGTGGGTTTCGGAATCTGCTCGCGCCCATCCCCATCCCGCACCCATCCCCATCCCGCACCCAGCCCCGCAGCCCCACAGAGACATCCCGGATGGGTGACAACCCCCCATTCCCACCCCATAGCCGGGGGGGGGTGTGTGCGGGCACTGCGGGATTGGATTCCTGGACCATCTGGGGACCCCGCGGGCGCCCTGCTCCCCCCCCCCCCGGCTGCCGAGGGGACTGGGATACCGGCAGGAAAATTCCCGTCCCCGTTGCCATGGCTTCCCATCAGGATGCTCTTGCATCACGGCCAGCCCGAGGGGCCGGGGTGCGGGGGTCCCCCCGGGGGCTCGGTGCGGGGTCCCCCCGGGGCTCAGGGCGGGGGGCTCCGGGGCAGCGCTGGGGCCCGAGCGGGAGCGCGGGGGCGGGCGGGGGGGGCTCCGGGCAGCGCCAGCCGCTGAACACGGTTTGGAGCCGGTGACGTCTGCTCCGGCATCGCCGAGGGAGGAGAACGGGCGGCAGAGCGCGGGGCCGGCTCCGGGCAGCGCGGGGGGTCCCTGCCGGCCATGAGCCCCCCGGGCCGGCCGGGGGGGCCGCCGGGGGACGGGGGGCTCCGCTGAGCCCCAGCCATGGAGCCGCGCCGCTGGCCGCTGCTCTGGGGCGTCCGCGCGGTGCTGGTGCACGTCACGGTGCTCACGGCGGGGCAGCGCCCGCAGGAGAGACCCCCGCGGCCGGCAGGATGGTCGCCGGGCCCCTCATCCTCGTGGGCGCCCACCCTGGAGCCGGGAGCGCCGGGGGACGCCGAGGGCTCGGCGGCAGCGCTGGCGTTCCTGCGCACGGGGGATGCCCAGCGCCTGGCCCGGGCCAACTGCAGCGGGGGGGTCGCGGCGGGACCCCCCGGCCCGGGGCCCCCCCTGGCCCTGCGAGCCGCCCTCTGGGCCGCCCCTGAAGCGCTGGCACACACCGCCAACTTCCTCAACATGCTCTTCCAGACCAACGACATCCGCGAGGCCAGCGTGGCCGAGGACGTGGAGTGGTACCAGGCGCTGGTCCGCAGCCTGGCCGAGGGGCACCCGTGGGTGCGCCGGGCGGTGCTGGCCCTCGACGCCCACCCGCTGGCCCCCAAGCCCCGGCTGATGCTCCAGGCCACCAAGGGGGACGGGCAGATCCTGCTGCAGGACGTGTCGGCCTCCGCCCCCAGCCTGGGCAACCTCAGCTGGGACAACGAGTGGTTCAACGCCCTCAAGTCCCAGCGGACCCCCCAGCTCCGCAAGCGCGTGCTCAGCAACGACCTGCGCAGCATGGAGACCCCCAAGTGGCAGCGGGGGGACAGCTACGTGGGCGACCCGGGCCACGTGAGGTGGTCGCCGCCGTTCCTGGAGTGCCGGGAGGGCCGGTTCCTGCCCGCCTGGGCTGTCACGCTCTCCTCCGCCTTCTACGGGCTCAAGCCAGACCTCAGCCCCGAGTTCAAGTAAGTGGAGCCCGGAGGGGCTGGGGAAGAGGAGGGGGGTTGTTAAGAGGGCTGGGGGGTGCCCCGTGTGTGTGCTGGGGGGGGCAGCTGGAGGAGTCACCCCAGGGTGTGCCAGCACCCTGCCTGTGTCCCTCGGGGGGGGTGTGAGCGCTGCACGTGTGTGTTTGCACATCCCCAGGCACGGAGGTGACCCCTGCCCTCCCTTGGTACCCCCTTGTGCTGCCCACCTTGTGCTGCCACCCCCAGACCCCCCTGTCACGGCTGTGCTGGGGGTGGGTGAGCCAGGCTGGCACCCCTCCTGGGAGCTGGGAGTCTCCAGACACGGCTCCGAGGGGGAACATCTGTGTCCGGGGGTCTGGTGACATTGGTGACACCTCACATCATCTCCCCCCCCAGTCCCCGCCCCAGTGCCAGCCCAGAGATGGCAGTGGGGCACTGCCACGCTGGGTGGGGGGCACGGGGTGGACCCACACGACCCCCGGGGCTGACCCCATCCCTCTGCACAGGGGTGTGGTGCGGGTGGACGTGGAGCTGCGGGATGTGGCCATCGACCAGTGCGCCAGCGGGCCGGGCTGGTTCTCAGACACACATCGCTGTGACCTCAACAGCACCCAGGTACCCTGCACCCCATCCCCCCCCCGGCAGGGCTGGGGCACCCCCACACCCCATCCCTGCACCCACCAGGGCTGGGGCACCCCCACACCGAACCACCCCCGGGCTGCCCCTGCCCCGTGTCCCTCCCTCCGGGCTGAGCTTTATCCTCTCCCGGCCGATCCATCTGCTTCGTTCAGCTGCTCCCGCACCGCAGCGAGGGGTTTATTGTGCAAATCTTCCCTCCCCACCGCCAGCCGCGGGCGTGTGACCCGGCCGCTCCCTGCCCGGGCACCGCGGGCACCGCGGGCACGGGGGGTTGGCAGCCGGTGGGCACATCACCCCAACTCCCCCGTCCCCTCTGCCGGCGCCCACCCGGTGATGCCCGAGCACTTCAGGGCTTGGCTCCACCGTCAGCACCCCCAGCCAGGGCAAACCCCACCTCCTCCCAGCTTTGGAGTCCCACCCCGGCGGCCCAAAACTGTCCCCACGTGGGAAAGGCGTCACCGGCCGCTGTTTCCTGCCAGCGGTGCCCTCCGGAGGGACGGGCTCAGTGCCGGGCATCCCTCCAGAAAACAACAATGCCCAGCAGGGCCGCCAGCACGGCCCGTTCGGGGCAGGATGCGCCGGGGGGGCGGGATTAGGGAGCAGTGCCTGGCCTGGCACTGCCGTCACGGCTGGGCAGGATTAGGGCGCTCGGCTGCATTAGGTGTCCATTTAGGTTTTAGGGAGGGATTTGGGGCCAAGCTCTGGCTTTTAATTCTGAAATGTTTAACCACTGATTCCTCCCGAGCGTGGGGGGGGGGAGGATGGTGTGGGGTCAGGTAGCCGTGAGCTGGGGGCTGCTGGAGCCCCTGGGGCTGGGGGGGTGCAGATGATGGAGGGAACACACGGGGTGGGGGACAAACCCTTGCCCTCCTGAGTGTCTCAGCCTGTCTCCTTCAGTGTGTGCCCCAGGAGAGCCGTGGCTTCATCCTTGGAAGGTACCTGTGCCGGTGCAGGCCGGGCTTCTACGGGGCCAGTGGAGTGGCCAGCGGTGCCTGGGCAGGTGGGTACCCTGCCAGGCCTCGGGGGGCCTCGTTTCACCCAGTTTTACCCATGGGTACAGCAGTGGGATCCAGGGCTGGGGGGCTTTGGGAAGCCAGAACATGTGCCCTGGCACGAGAAGTGCCACCAAGCCCTGGGTTGTGGTGATTTCACCTGCATGAGGTGGTTCCACCTGGATATGGTGTTTTCACTTGGACACGGTGTTTTCACCTGGTTGAGGTGGTTCCCCCTGGATTTTGTGATTCCCCCTGGATGTGGTGGTTCCCCCTGGTTCTGGTGATTCCCCCTGGATGTGGTGATTCCACCTGGATATGGTGTTTTCACCTGGACACGGTGTTTTCACCTGGTTGTGGTGATTCCCCCTGGATGTGGTGGTTCCCCCTGGATGTGGTGATTCCCCCTGGATGTGGTGATTCCACCTGGATATGGTGATTCCCCCTGTTTGTGATGATTCCCCCTGGATGTGGTGGTTCCCCCTGGATGTGGTGATTCCACCTGGATATGGTGTTTTCACCTGGACACGGTGTTTTCACCTGGTTGAGGTGGTTCCCCCTGGATTTGGTGATTCCCCCTGGATGTGGTGGTTCCCCCTGGGTGCACTGATTCCACCTGGATATGGTGTTTTCACCTGGACATGGTGTTTTCACCTGGACACGGTGTTTTCACCTGGTTGTGGTGATTCCCCCTGTTTGTGATGATTCCCCCTGGATGTGGTGGTTCCCCCTGGATGTGGTGGTTCCCCCTGGGTGCAGTGGTTCCACCCTGCCCTCACTGTGTCCCCAGGGCCGGACGGGGGGTCCCGCCTGGCGTGCTGGCCCTGCCGCCCGGGCTGTGCCACCTGCGAGGATGACAAGCCGTGCCTGATCCAGGAGGACCCGGTGCTGCGGGCGGCCGTGCTGTCGTGCCAGGCCTGCTGCATGCTGGCCATCTTCCTCAGCATGCTCATCTCCTACCACTTCAGACGGAGCAAGGCAAGGTGTCCCCGAGTCCTCCCCCTCCGCTGTCACCCCCTGCCCTGCTCCCCTCCCACCCCAAACCCTGCGGTCTCAGGGAAGGAGGATCCCCCTGCCCTGGCTCCATCCCCTCTGGGCTCCCAGCTGCACCCTCACACCTCTGTCCCTGCAGAGGATCCGGGCATCGGGAATCATCCTCCTGGAGACCATCCTCTTTGGATCCCTCCTCCTCTACTTCCCCGTGAGTATCCAGCTGTTCCCCGGAGCCGAAAACCTCCGGGATGGAGTTCACGGGATGGAACTGCCCCAAGCAGGGCACGGGCACGGCTCCACCTAATTGTTAATTTTGCTGGCACGGTCCCTGGGGGCTGCGGTATAAACCTTCTCAGAAAACCAAATCCCTTTTCTCCTGCTGGCTGCGGGAATTAATCCCTGCCCAAATCCCCTCTCCCTCCCGCACGAGCTGCAGTGGCGGGTGCCGCGGGGTCAAGGGGAGGGGGCGAGGGGCTGGCTTTGGAAGCAGGTGATTTCCGAGGCTCTGGAGGTGGGATCCACACCGTGCCATCCCTGATCCCTGCCTCCCGCCGCTCCAGGTGTTCATCCTGTACTTCAAGCCGAGCATCTTCCGCTGCATCGTCCTGCGCTGGGTGCGGATGCTCGGCTTCGCCACCGTCTACG